GTGCCACGCTAGTAGTAACAGGTGCCTTACTTGTAATAACAAGAAGCTAGTGCCTTCGACTTCTTCTTGAGCTAAGGACCGTCGGACTGTCGCCACGGACACGCTTTCGAGACAGCTTTCGAGAACCCACACGAACCGCAGTATCAACTGTAGAGCCTGTCCACATTCATCTATATGTTGAACATGTTTGGAACAAATCCAACCCAAAAGGGCGGATCAATAGCACTTGCTGCGAGAAATTGGAAAAATTGAAAAAACACTATGTCATTATGTATATGAATTGCAAAGACTACTTGGTAGAGACCACAAAGGTCAACTCGCCCAATTCCAAAAATGGCAACAAACACATGAAACAATGCATTGGATAAAACGATTTGTTGCTCCAAGCGTAGCTAACGCACACGCAAACACTGTACATTGTACGTGACACAGCACACGGATTTGCAACTCTTGCGCGGATTCACCGTGAACGCCCACACCACCACAAAACGACTAACCCTCCTCGTCTGGCGGAACGGAATACGAAAGAAAACGCACCTAACTTCACCTGACATGACTTAGGTACACTTGCAATCCTGGCTCCCGGGAAAAGCCTTGCTAGCTAAGCTTGAAGTAGACGGCAGCTCAGCTGTGGACGGTGGCATCGCTACGAACGGAGCATTCTGACTACGAACGGAACAGGACTCTACTTAGGAACGCTTTTGCAAAAACAGGACTCTTTCGGGTGAAAATCGAAGGCACGCGGTTTCCCCGCTCGTTCGAAGGCGCCCATCCCAAATGCGAGGTGCGGAAAGAGCGATGCAACTGGTCCGGCTTTCGAACAAGAAAAAGCCTTTAAAACACACCTGTGCTACTCGACCTACGCCTGAAGCTTCGGGAAGTTCCACCTGAAGTTTCTCCAAAAGGCACCGGGCGAAACGTCTGCCAAATCTACGCATCTTATCGACCTTTCTAATTCCCGATAAAGGGTATCCCAATGTACCCCACATCAAGTGCACATGGTGCAGCTGCTAGGCCACGACTTTTTGACCCCCACACGGTAGGCGTGGCAAATCGCCAAAGGCGTCACAAAAACGTGTTGACGCAAAGACATGTCTTTGGCTCCTGCGAAAGACTTCGCATGTGATTTTTCAAGGCAAAGACCACTGGGTGCAGAATAGGATTCGGATCGTGCCTGACGTTGGCATCCGTTGGTGCTAAAAGGTTCTCCATGTTTTGACAATTCTCAAAGACTTGGTACTTATCTTTCTGCGCACTCTGAGGACTCGGCCAAACTCGGTTAGGGTCGACTCCGGCCAAAGTGCATCGGGAGTTCCCGTGGACCACACCATCCACATTCACCATGGGGATCACCTTTATGAATTTAACAGAAAACAGAACAAATTCAATTCTAATTCAAACTCTTCAATGTGATTTAAAATACCTATTTCATGCAAAAGCACTTTGATTCCAGATTGCGCATCATTGCGCGTCTTTTTCTTATGTTCACATCTCCACATCTCACGCTTTCTTGTTCCGCCAAGCCACATGAAACACAAACTCTTCACCTTGGATTTCGTCAGACATTCCGTCTTCAGACGCCAGAATTCAATTGACCGGGTTCCACTGCCCGGCCGAGTTCCGACATGTTTTCGGAACGTGTACAGTTTTCTCGGTGTCCAGCGTAAACATTTCGCCGCTGGCGTGGGACCCAACAAAAACCGCAGGAGCCCTTGCACCGCCCACGACCTCAGCACGGTACATTCCGTAGAACTTATGAAGAGTTGGTTGAAGCTTGTTTGGGCAACTGATTCCGAACCTTTCTTCGTGTCCTATGTTTTCAAGAAAAAGGAAAACATGGAATATGAGAGCATAGACCCCAGATAGCGGGTACGGTGTATAGGTTTAAAGGACACGCCACAGACAGCTGTCACCGCAGCACGCAACATCAGACCAGTCCACCAATATGCGCAACATCTGAATATCAGCTGAATGCGCCCGCTATGCCCAACACAGGACCAGCCAAAGCTGCCTGCTGCACAACACGGTGTCATGCACAATATGACATGTCATCCCCCCTGGCATGACACGATGTCGTGCCTACCTACACAAATGATGTCATCCCTGGCATTCTGGGCATGACGTGCCCTGGCATGATGTCCGCCCGCCGATCCAGCGCCGGCTGCACCAGCACCAGCACGGCAGCACCCGCAAAACGAAAACACGAATCAGCCACACCATTGAGAAGTTGAAACATGTTGAAACCCTTGTAGCCCCGCTCTGGGGGCGTTGCCCCACGACTTCTCCGGGGTGTTGCCGAGCGGTGATCACCACAGCATACCTGGACAAAGACGATCAGAACAGTCAAAGCTATAAACAATCCATTTGAGACCATGTTCTCAATGTTGAAAAACAAAACGAAATGCAATGAGCAAAATGCGATCAGAAATTAAGAAAGGAAAGCGTGGAGGAACACAACAGCGAAAGAGGAATCCGAAGCCGTGACGTGTTTGAGTCTCTTTCAACGGTTTGAGTCTCCGACTTTGGGAGCTGCCTAAGAGTGCGCTGGAAAAGAATGAAAAATAAACAACCTAACAGCACTGGCCACCTAATAGCGACGGTAGTGATGGCCTCCAACCTACTAGCGAAGGCCTCCAACAAAATCAATACAAAGCAAATGGACAAACGTAAGTGGTTAAGCATTCCTTCCCCTTTGTGGGTTTTGGCAGATGCTTCCTAAGGCTGTAAGGGCCGCACTCACCTTCTTTCTCATTCAGGCCCTGCCCGACACTCGCTCCACCGCACATGCGAAAGCGGAGATGGAATGTGCCGCTCTGACCACAGAGGCAATCAAACACGGACACTTCCCCCACGGCCGCTGGCCGTGGCGGGGGGAGCTTCCTTGAAGAAGCGTGAGCTATTCTGCGTCCTAAGTAGTTTGGCTACTAGGCTACCAGCTACCTAGCTACTGTACTACTAGCTACTACTAGCTACGCTACTATTAACTACTACCTCTACGGCCTACCCCCCTTTTTTAGTAAAATATGTGTTTTGAAGTTAAGTGTCCCTAAGAATCAAACCAAATGAATAGGGCGAACGCTTGTAGCTTCCCTGCATCCAGTTACTAGTAGCGTCGTCGCTCGGAGTGAACTAGTAGCAATGGCCTCCAACCTAAGAGCGGACTCCCTAACTAGCTTATACTGATACTCCCTTGATTACGTAAAAGATACTAGCGGTACTCTAGTAGAATACCTTTACTAATTTGAATTCTAATTACTAGTTCTTGTTTCTACAAGCTTCTTGTTACTAGTAGTAAGGCCAGGAGCCCCTAGTAGGGTCCTTGCTCCGTTCGTAGCGATGCCCTTTGCTCCTAGGCTCTTTCGACGTGTCTCGGTCGACCTCACTGACCACGAGCAGCGGCACCGGCAATTGGCCGATGCTCCGGCAGAGTTCCCTCCGACGGAAGTGGCACCTCCGAAAAACGCAAAGTGCCAAAAACGTTGTGTTTCTTCCTTCCCTTTGGTCAAAAACGTCCAAAAATAATTCTTAAAAATTGAGCCACCATAGACCCAAAACAGTTTTGGTTTAAGAATTGGAACACATTGCAACTAGAGTTTCCGACGGAAGCGCTTCTTTTGTCCAGAGCTGGGAAACAAATGAAGGATTGCAAGGCAGAGGTCGGCACCGCGAGGCAGAAGTCCACACAAGGCGGACACACTCAGAATTCAGAACCCATGAGAACCCATGAGAACCCCAGTAAACTGTTTGGGGAAATTGAAATAGAATATGTTATTTGCAACCCGTGTTGACTCACCTGGCAACGGCATCCTGCTCCAACGAGGAGATAAAACTGCTCATCATGCCTCAGATGTGAAGAGTGTGTGCCAAACGTGGGGTTCACTAAAAAGAATAATAAGACAAGTAACAAGAAGCTAGTAGTAACAAGTGCATCGCTAGTAGTAACAAGTGCCTTACTAGTAGTAACAAGGACGCTACTAGGAGCATCGCTTTGAACAAAAACCGCCGCCTGTGTTTCTACTCGATAGAAATATACTGCGCTATGCCGATCAGGATGGAAAGACGGACACTTCTTGTCACTCCTTTCTTAACTTCTTAACTTAACTTCTTTATTGTCACTCCTTTTCAGGAGTAACAAGTGCATCGCTTCTAGTAACAAGTGCCTTACTAGTAGTAACAAGAAGCTACTAGGGGCTCCTGGCCTTACTACTAGTAACAAGGTTTGCTCCTTTTCAGGTTGCCATACCGAACCCATCTTAACCTGCCATGCGCTCCGCTCAAAACCCTTTCGCACCTCGGTGTTTGGAAGAGGCCAGACCGGACAGATGGACCGACACCAGATGGACGCGACCCAACCGAAAGGACAGGATAGGAAAGAGAATACAAACACGAAATGAACCAAGGAAAGAACCAATTCATACAAGGAAAGCGAAGTTCAAGATGAGAACTCAAGAACTCAAACCAGGGACATGTCCAAACCTGCTAAAAGCTCATCTGAATCATCGCATCACGAACAATCATGCAAGGCCAAGGAGCTGTAGCTGTAGGGTGGATAAGCCGCAAAATAGATCTCATCCTCCTTACGATCAACACCTGAGGCACGCTCCCCCCCCTCGCTACTAGGAGCAAAGGGCATCGCTACTAGGAGCAAGGACGCTACTAGGGGCTCCTGGCCTTACTACTAGAATAAAGGGGCATCGCTACTAGTAACACCTGAGACAAGCGGTCAAGGTCCACGTTTTATGTCCTGTTTGGACCAAGCATGGTACGGTAGGACCACTGGAGCATGACATCCTCAGGCGAACTCACGTCTCGGAAATGCGGCATTTGAGGGCCTTACTACTAGTAACAAGTGCCTTACTAGTAGTAACAATTAGAATTTAATTAGAATTGTAATTACTAGCTTCTTGTTACTACCAGCAAGGCACTTGTTACTACTAGCGATGCACTTGTAATTACTAGCAAAGGAACCTGCAAGTTGGGACGATAATTAAGCAATCAAACCTTCAAGTATGCATGTGGGCTATGAACAGGGAGCGAGCAGAAAATCAGAAAACACGTCAGAGACACAAAGACACTGCGGCCGGCGCGTTTCTGGGCACACACTACTGTAATCTCTTGCACTGATGTGCGTACATTGCTTTCTGTTGCATCACTGCGCGCGCCCGCATCATTGGTCCATAGAGGAGTTGCTTGAGCAAATGAATGATGGCTCACTGTGATCAGTGCCTGACTGGTAAGGTACTGAGTTGCATTGTAAAGTACTGGTAAAGTAGTGAGTGATCATTGATTGAGTTGCATTATTTTTAAAGTTTTTGCTTGCCTTTTGTCGATATACAGCTTGCAAATCGACGAGTGTGAAAAGCGGCAGTGTGATGGGCCTGTCTGCATTTCATATCCAAACATGACCTGTCTGGGACCGGCAGTCCTGACTACCGAGAAACAGCCTGGGGTGGTTGAGGCAGGGTCCATCTATATAGGTCAATATGCCAAGCCCATCAAGTCTTTGAAGTAGAACCCAGCAAGGACGCAAGGCCATCGCAAGTAGGGCATGGTTTTTCACCCCTTGTCGTCCCTCTTAGAGGTGCAGAAAACGAACGGGAGGTTCTATTTTCTAATAAGAAGCAAACTTTGTTACTAGTAAGGCACTTGTTACTACTAGCGTGGCACTTGTTAGTAGCGGGGCATGCGTCATTTTTTCGGCCTTTAGGAGGCGGTCGCCGGAACCGGCCCCATAGGCCCAACCGGAACCGCAAAAGACAAACGTCAGAAACTCAGACTTCCTCTTTCCGTCCTTCTTGGACCTTTTGGACGGCGTAACTGCCAAGTGGTCTTTTGGGGTACCCAAAAGGGTTCTCGAAGCCGCATGTGGCCAAAGCCTTTTTGGCTTCCTAGTTATTAGTGATTGAATTATTCAGGATGAGAGTCACGACAGGTTTGAAGATCTTACTCGAACACTTCGTGGGTTCGAATAACCTGGAGGTGGGTCACAGCTGAGCAGGAGTGATTTGCATTGGAGACGGGTAAAGTTGTTGCGAAGTACCAAGTTCCGATCGAAGGACCGCGCAAAGGACTACAAGAAGAGCCTGCATAAAGCACTGGTAGTAACTAACAGCATGTAGCAACTGAATTGACTGGAACTGTTCAAACACTCCAACTGGTCGGAAAAGCTCCAACGCAGCCCCAATCCAATTTGAGAAATGTTGGGAGGCAGGGCCAGGCAGGGAGGAACTGGTGCCCAAGAGCTGGGTGGGGAGCACGTAGGAGGAACGCCCGTCAGACAAGTGCGGCACGGAAACATACTGCTAGGCACGTGCAGCTGCCTGTCGCCTTGCTGCGCGTAAAAAGTGTTTTGTGCAGCGTAGACTGAACCGAGCCACAAGGCACACCACAAGGGCAGAAACGCCTTCAAGGCAGGCTGAACACAGCGAACAGCAACAAGGTGACAGCGCCCAAAGTTCAGTTTGACCCACAGGATTCCGCCCATACAGACTGCACACCACTCCAGACACCTTCAAGATGAATTCCGGTTTCAAGCGTGGACAAACTGTGCACCACACCGTTCCCAGCCGAGATTGAAACCCAACTGCGTTCTGCTAAATGTCGGTTCGTACGACCTGGAATACTCAGTGTTCACAATCCACGGTTCCCAAGGCTTAGATGCTGCCTGAAATGGGGGTTTGACATCTTTCGGCATGCATGTCGCATCAAAAAGACCCTGCGTGGCCTCCCAGAAGCGTTTCCTTTCTGTATGTTTTTTGTATGTTTACATCACGACCTAGCCCCAGCGGTACCTCGGAGAGGCACGAACCATAGTCAACTCGTTCGAGCCAAGACACGCCGCGAGCTTCACTCCTCGGGCGGGGAAGGGCCGATTTTGTGTGAAAAATGGGGCCATAGAGGTGAGCTAGGTAGCTACTAGCTTACTTAGGACGGCTGACGATTTTCTTCAGGGTTTCTCGTTTTTTTGGTGATTTTTTTGGTAGCGGCTTTCATGTGGTGATCCCGTGGCAGGCGCAGCACTTTGAGCATCTTCAGCTGCAGAATTCGTGGCAAGCGCGGCGCGTTGCGCACTAGAAGTGCAAATTTTGTGGCAGGCACAGCACTTCCTGAAGATTTCGTGGCAGGCGGCGGCGCAGGCAGTACTTCGCGAACCTCGAAGTGCTAATTTCGTGGCAAGGGCAGCACTTCGTGCACCTCGAAGCGCAGATCTCGTGGCAGGGCAGCACTTCGTGAACATCGCAAGGGCAGGTGGTGACCCTTGACAATCATCTCTGCATCTTCATATGATGATGACGATGACGTTGATGATGACGATGGTGAACATGATGATGATGATGATGATGATGATGATGATGATAACAGTGACAGTTTGTCTGATGAGGCTGATAGTGTTCACGATGATGATGATGATGATGATGATGATGATGATGATGATGATGATGGTGATGGTGATGATGATGGTGATGGTGATGGTGATAAATCATCAAGAAGATGATCCTGAATGCGATGTCTAAGACGATGGCAAAGATGATAGTTAGACAGTTGAAGCTGGCACCCGTTCTTGAAGGAGAACCCTCCCCAGCTGCTTTCTGAGAAGATCGATTCCAGCAACAAGCACCGACGCAGTGGCTTACTTTCGCACAGAGGCATCTTGCTGCGCTGGAATGGTCCATTCCTGCTCTGGATTTTCCCCTCGCATGGCTCACAAAAAGGCCTGCTACATTGGAGTGGCTCCTGCCTCTTCTAGATATTACTGTACATTCGTGTGGCTCACAGAAGGTCTGCTTCCTAGGACTGGCCCCTGCACCCTCTTAAATTTCTCCTTTGGCTGGCTGGTACATTCAACGCTCGCGAAAGGTCTGCCACATTGCAATAGCCCCTTCCTCCTTTAAAATTGACCGTCTGTAAAAGACTCCGGCGGGCGCGTGTAATATTTTGCGAGAGCGATGGGCGCGTGGGTGACCTTTGGAACATCTGTCCTCGTAGGCCCAGCTCATTGGCAAAAGTAATGCAGATTTCGTGGCGGTGGGCGAGGGTTGGGGGAGGGCACAGCGCCTCCCCTGCAGAACAAACCAAACATCAAAAGCCATAAAGGCGCCACAAAATAGATCACCGTCGAAAACTATATACACACCCCATTGCCTCATCAATGAAGGGCACTCAAAAAGTGACTCAAGGGCCCAGGCAACCGGACTAGGAGACTACTAGCTATGGCCTCCAACCTAATCGATGGCCTCCAACCTAAAAGCTTTTGGCCTCCAACCTTCCAACCTACTAGCTATGGCCTCCAACCTAAAAGCCATGGTCCCCAACTAAATAGCTATGGCCTCCAACCTAGTAGCTATGGCCTCCAACCTAATATCTATACCCTAACCTAATAGCTATGGTCTCCAACCTAATAGCTATCCCCTCCACCCCAATAGCTACGCTCTCCAAATAGCTATGGCCACCAACCTAATAGCTATGGCCTCCTGCCTGGCCTCCAATAAAAGCTAACCTACTAGCTATAGCCTCCAACCTAATAGCTTTGGCTTCCAACGAGCAAAAGGCCACTACCTCATCAACCTCCTGGACTATGAGAACAACACCGATGACATGGCCTTCATCACCGAGGAGGTCTTCCACACCAATGACGTCTTTGCCATTGAGCTTGTCTTGGAACCTGAAGCCACTAACTGTGACGATCCTGTGCTCCTTGAAGGTGAACAAGATGAAGCTTTCAAGATCCCTCGACCAAATTTGAAGTATCAACCTTCGGGTTTCCAGAATGGGACTTCAGCATTACAAGGATCAGAGATACCTTCAAGGGGCTTGTGAAAAGGGTGAAACCTCACTATGTTTGGACGGCACCACCATGCCGTGATTGGAGCACCATCCAACGCTTGAACTGTGGCACTCCAAGAGAAAATGAAGAAACCTCACCACGCCGCTTCATGGGACACCAATGCCTTGGACAGCGTCGATGATTGCTCTGACGCTGCGTGCAATCGTTGCCAGACTGGTCTATGATACTTCGACAAGCAAGGCAACTATGTGGGAAAAATGAAAAAGCCTACACGACTTCGAACCAGTGATGAGGAGACCTATGACTCAACCTCCCCTGCACTTGCGAGCCCTATGAGCATGTCAACATGGACGGCAAGAGCCGCTGCAAGCAAATGCAAAACTATGAAACTGATTTCGTGAAGTGTGCAGCGCAAGCCATTTTGGCTTCTATGGAACGACGCTGGCGACAGCGTGAAGTTCTCCAGATCTTTGTCTCTGGGGCGTCAACACGGAACACAAGACAAGGAGACAACGGAAACCAATGGCATTCCACTTCACATGGAATCAGCTTCCAGCAGCTCATTGAAGTGGGAAGACTGGGGCAAAGAACCAGGCTTTGGTAGTTTGCTCATGAGGTGCTGGGCGCAAACATCGCAACGAAAGTTGCGAGCACAGCGGATGATGGAATCATCCATTTGAGCGTCATGGCCTTGATGAGCTTGTCATTACCTGGGTGTCCCAACTGTTTGTGCATTTCGGTCACCACAGAAAGAGCTTGCTTGCTGTGGCTCTTCATGAGTTACTTTTTCTTCATCCGTGAAGTCAATGCCGCGGTCGATCGTGAGACCGAAGAATGTGAACTGAAAGTCCTTGAGGAGCAATGGATCCATACATTTGGTCCTCCTACCAAGTTCAGAACTGATGCCTCTGGGGCTCACATGAATGAGCAGTACCTGCGCTTCTTCAACAAGTATGGCATCAAGCTCATCATCATCCCCAAGGAGGCCCCCTACCGGATGGGCGCAATTGAGCGTTTGCATGCGGTGAGGCGACTGCAGCTCTACAAAATGCAGCAAGCCCAACCTGGAACTCGCAGATGCAGTTCGCATCGCCTGCAGTCAAAGGAATCGCCTTCACAACGCGCATGGATCTTCACGGCCCAGATGGTCTTTGGCCACAATCCGGCCAGCGGTGGACTGATCCCTGCTCTCCAAGCACTTCAAGTTCGGCAGTTGGGATTTTGGCTCTAGCAACGGTGCGAAATTCTGTGTTGTGTGGAGCTGATGTCATGCAGAGCTTGAACCACGAGACCATCCAGATCTCACTTGAGCAGTACTGCCAGAAGGTGAAACCTATTTGCTTGCTTGCGCCGACAAGGAGCATAAGCAACTTCGCGCGTTGCTTGGAGCCTTGGCTTGGCCTGCTCACCAATGCGTTCCTCAGTTGCGCCCCAGCGTCAGCATCTTGCAATCGTCCTCCAGCAATCCCATGATCAAGGATGTCAATGAGGCCAACAAGCTGTTGCGCTTTGCAAAGAATGTCACCAAGGACTACAAGCTGACCTTCCATGCCCATGGCGAGCTTTCTGATTGTGCATCAGAGCCTACACCGATGCCGCCTGGTCAGTCCGACCGGACGGAACGTCGCAAGGAGGTTTGTTGATCTTCCTGCGCAACCATGCAGAGCTGAGCTCAGAGAAACCAATGACGCTGACGGTTCATCAGTGGCAGTCAAGAAGAGCGCATTTGCAGGTCCTCACTATCAGCAGAAGCCCAAGCCGCCGCTGCTGCAGTTGATGAACTTGAATGGAGCAAAGTGTTCATGGCTTGTGTTGTGGACCCCAACCGAAGCTCTCAGGAAGTTTGGCACTTCACCACTGGCCACGGATGCTCGTTCTTTGTTTGATGCTGCTCGAAGCATGACGCCTGGCATGAAGTTGAGTGAACGCCGCACTGCCATCGAGATCGCCATCGTGAAGGACCGCATGCCTGCTCGAGACGGACGTTCCAATGGCTGAAGGAAGCCCAGTCGAGAACGATGAGAAGACCCATGAGTCCTTCCTCGGCACTCGCTTCTGGCTAATTGTTGGCCTGCTTGTCTTCTTTGCGCGCATTGGCCTGGAGCACATGACCTACAAGATCTATAAGCTCTTCCTCGAGAAGGCAACGGTTCTGTGGAAGAAGAACGAAGAGAATGAAGAAAAAGGTGAACCGTCGGTCCAGACCACTGACCGTACTTGCACCTTGCCCCAGCATAGTGAAGAAGTGCTGGAACAAGTCTTGGCCCTTTCCACTGGGCCAGGCATCGACCATCCACCGGGAATCGACCCTGGCAGTTCACCTGCAACTCCGACAGCGAGCTTGAAGACATGGACGCCCGAAGGCGCCTCATCCTGACCAACGAGGGCTTCACGACCCAGCGCTGGCGGAAGTTTCGAGAGCTCTTCAATCAGCGCATCGTGAGGCAGCGAGCGCGCATCGAATTCCTCGAGAGGATCAAGCGCCTGCAGTTCCTGAACGAACATGGAGAGTTGAAAGACAAGATGATCCAAACCAAGCTCACCTTCGATACGGACACCACACCGCCAACACGGACAGCTGGGATCTTGCCGGATCATGAGTGTGGAGCTTGGGATTTTCGAAGCAGCCTGAACACCCGGCTGTGAAGGGGCTTGAATGAATGTCTTCCTTTGTGGCCACGATGGCCATGACATAGCCAAAGAACACTGGCCGCGTCAACATGCGAATGCATTTTGATGTGTACTTGTCAACCTGGATCACCACCTACTCTGGCCTAATGCGTTCTCCAGGCCAAGTGATGACATGTTTTCTATGTTTGCGACTGCCGTCGCATCTTTGTCCGAAGGGCCCTTGAGCACATCCCGTTACGACCGCGCTTGCGCAGCCATAAAGGTGCGATTCTTGTGAACTTGGACGCTGCGGCTTCGGTTGCCAACATTGCGATAGAGATGGGTAGCGGAGCGCTACACGATCCAACCTAATAGCTATGGTCTCCAATGGCTATGGCCTCCAACCTGATAGCTATGGCCTCCAACCTAATAGCTATCGCCTCCACCCTAATAGCTATGGCCTCCAACCTAACAGCTATGGTCTCCAACCTGATAGCTATGGCCTCCAATAGCTATGGCCTCCAACCTAACATCTATGGCCTAACCTAATAGCTATGGCCTCCAACCTAATAGCTATGCCCTCCGACCTAATAGCTATGGCCTCCATCCTAATAGCTATGGCCTCAAACCTGGCCTCCAGCATAAAAGCTAACCTACTGGCTATAGCCTCCAACCCAATAGCTTTGGCTTCCAGCCTAATAGCTATGGCCTCCAACCTAATAGCTATGGCCTCCAACCTAATAGCTATTGCAACCAACCTAATGGCTATGGCCTCCCACCCAATAGCTATGGCCTCCAACCTAATAGCTATTGCAACCAACCTAATGGCTATGGCCTCCCACCCAATAGCT